TATATAGACGGTAAAGGTAATTATACATTGACAGTATAATAGGTGTAAGGATGAGTGTATAAATGGTAGCAGAGCTCAGTGATTGAAACGGAGGCCAATCTAGGCGAATTATCAATCCATAACCTGCACTGTAATATCATGATGGTTGCCATATATTATTTTCCACGATTGCTCACTAAAACATCATCATATTATTATAATACAAAAAATGTATACATTTTGATGTCCGACATCCGTCATTCCTCTATTATCTATGACTATTCGAACCGATTTCGGAGACTGAAGTCTAGAACTCCAGACTAATTTTTGATATAGTTATAGGCTAGAGAAAAGGGAATAATTAATATCTAATAATTAATTGGGTATTAATTATTATGATTACAGATTAACTATATTGTTCTATAGATATTTAATATTAATTGCAATATAGTTGGTTAAACGGCTTATAGTTTTTAAATATGATTTTTTCTTACTAGTCCAAGTAATCCAAAACGTACTTTGCCACAGTTCTGATTGTGCGTTGTGATTAGTGGTGGTGCTCGAAGTGAGTAGAGTAAAGAAAAAGAAACATCATATTAATATCGCTTTGGTACTACAAATGTTATTGTCGGTAATTGGTTACGATTTTGTTGTTTTTAATGCTATTATATTATATTATAGTATGTATCTATATTATTATGATGAAAATATTGTTATTATAGCTTACAGTTAAAATATAATTGTTATGTTTCGTATATACAAGCAGCGACTACGGTTTAGACAAATATCCATATTATGTTAATAGCTATTACTTACATTTTTGCATCATATTTTACGTAAAATATATATTATATAATAATATAATATTGTGTACGACGGACTGAAAGATTGTATTTGTCATTGTTTTATAATACTTTATTTTATTTTAAATTTTGGTATTTCAATACGTATTCATTTTTAGCAAATCGATACCCAGAATGCAGAATATACTGCAGTAGTAAAAGGGATTAAAATATTATTTTGCCCACACTTAAAAAAATATGTATTTCTATATATATTAGGTGTACATATTATATTAAAAGTTAAAACGCGTGTAACCGTAATATAACTTTAAATTTTAACGCACACGCGTAAATACGTACTTTAGAATTTAAATGTATACAATACACACACGCATGCACTTAATGTTTTATAGTGTATTAGTGGTAATAAATACATTTTACATCCCGGCCAGTACTCATCCATTAATAATAAAAACCATCGTATATGCCGGTAAGCCTGCATGCAACCTGAATGATTACGCGTTTTATTATTTAAAGGTAAATAGGTATAATTTTTGTTTCTGTTTCAAAAATGTTTCAAATTTTCAACGAAACATTCATTTTTTTCATATTGTTTAAAATAATTAATTTATTGCTTTAACTGCTGCAGCAGATTAATCTTAATTATTCGTTATTTAAAATAAATATATCTGAATTTCGGAAAATGTTATCATAACATATTTTATACGTTTCAAAACTATAATATTATTATAATATAATTTTTGACAAAAATTTTGATTTTATATAGGTAGCTGGTAGCTATTGTTAATATTACCTCTTCAAATTCTGCAGGATAAGTAATCCCAATTTACCCAACGATTGAACACAATTAAACTTTAGCTATATCGTTACGATTAATTTTTTTTTATGTAATATTATTAATTCGACCAATAGATTTAAAATGAAAAATAAAACGTGCTGTGAGTGAGTTAATTATATAAAGGTTAGATAATCTATACCTCTATATGTGCACAAATAACGTTATGCTCGTTAACATGTGTTTAATACAACTGATCTATTTAGTAATATATAATATACAAAACACTACCCGAGATTCTATTATATACAACCTAAATAGTAAATATATATAGTTGTCTCGAATTCTATAATATACCTCGTACAGTCGTACAACGATTTACTATTCATCGGATGTTCAATCATGAAAAAATTTACTTTGTTTTCCACTGGCCGAAATTTCGCAGAGCTCCGCAAATCGTCTTGAACAATACCAAACCTATCTATAAGTAGGCATTCCAGAGAACCCGAATTCCGGATCTCTATAACAGTTCAACAGTATAATATATACTGAGGTTTTTCGAGCCGGTGCAATAAATGATCGTCGTGAGTCGGGAAACTCGTCGCTCCAAGATTTTCCCGGGAAAAAACAAAAAGGCTTCGAACGCGGCGTCGCCGAAGTTGCGGCGATCGCACAATATTATCATAAATGGATATTTTTTTTTTTTGTTTTGTTTTCCGTTTCGCCGGGCGAATTTTCCGGCATTTCGATTAACCCCCCGACGAATCGGCGGAGCTGCTGCGGCAGAGAGTCATAATAATAAAGTAGCGGGTAATAAAAATATAACGAGCGACGCCGCCGGTGGGATATCGTCGTCATCTCAGGCGGTGAAAATGGCGAGGCGAAAACGGTCGGAGGAGGGTGTGTCCCGGAGAAGGGTTTGGCGGGGCCAAAGCGCGTTAGCACACACACACACACACACACACACAGAGATAAAATGATTATACGCTTATATATATATATTTACACGAGCGAAGACGGTTTAAATGCTTTTAACAGTGCGCTGTTTACGGCACACACCGCCGCCCCCTCGGGCGCGACGAGGAAAGTTTGTTACGCCCGCGCCAGCGCCATTATCGGACGATTAAATATTAATTTTAAACTAAACTTTACCCAAGTCAAAACTGTTTAGCTTAAAGTTTCAACAAACACTCGCGCACACACACGGCCAAGTGTACCTATATAATATTATTATTATGGCGCAGCGGTGGTTCGCGTATAATGTTCTTCCGGGTACGCTCGCGATGATGATGATAACATTATTATTATTATTATTATTATTATTATTATTATTATTATATTCCTGTACTGCACTCGCGAGGACGACGAGCAGCGCTGCGTAGAGTGACTCCTGCAGGATTCGGGACCGAGCAGGAGAGGACGTCGTTTATATATAATATACGTAATGTTATGTACTCAACCTACACGTATCCATATAGACGACGACAGTCATAACATAATATTATTATTTACCTCGTGTATATAGGTAACATACCAATATTATTACGGAGGAGTAAGTATATGCTCACGATGCCAATATATAATTGAATAATAGCTGGTATAATGATGCGCGTATGGTTCACGTCATAATAATGCTCACAAACTTCTACGAAATACAATACGTGTGTTATGGAAACAACATAATAATATTATGCACTCAGTTACCGATACCTACCTCTAATCGGGCAACTGATTTTTTAGTAATAACGATTTAATGTACGATCAATAATAAATTGTTATTAAATAAATATTACTTCCATAATAAACTTATTGACTATTGTTATATTTCCTATATTAAATTTGTTTCATCTTAGCTGGACATGCTAATAAATCGATTACGTTAAATCTTCGCTCACCGAGCGTTGTCTATGAAATCTCCACGTAAAGTAAAACGCTTAGGTATGCGCTACAATCTATTTTTTTGTAAAAATTATGGTTTATTTCTTTTCTACATAAATACTAATAATCGTGTGGCATTGTATCGTATAATATATTATACGTCTTACCGCGTATACCGAATGATAAAATATAGGTACAAATGTTTATATATAATACGTTGTTTTCGTCTCTCTTTGTTTACTTTATAGTAAAGATACCTTCTACAATTTATTATACATGTACGTGCACGACTCATTGAAACTTAAATATGTTTGTAAGTACCTACGTGAAATGCACTATTGGATGTGCACCTTTTGTTCAAAGGCACATAAATAGTAAATTCGCATACACAGTCTGAATAACAAGATGAACTACCTCTCCTCCGTCATAGTATTATTATTATTATTATTGACTGCAAAACGTCCAACAAGGAATAATGCATGTCTGTTCGTCAAAAAGCCGTAGTAGTATGTATAAATTAAACAATTGTAACGATGAGTTAAGTGTTTAATATAAATATTAAATGCGTCCCCGCGAGCCTGAAAGCGAATAATCATTCGGAACTCATTGTATTCTTACCGAGAATAGCAGCTTAAAACGGAAGCATTGTAAAAAGCCGTACAAACAAACCACATATATTTTTTATATGCGCTTTAAGTACGAGTGGTTTTTTTTCTCGATTTCAAGTTTCGTATTTTTTAGGGAGAATAATAATATTTTTAAATTACTCATCGCCCGTCGGCGGTGCTTCAATTTGTACATATTTAGAGCCATATAGGTTCCTTCCCCAGTAATTCCGTATCTGCGTCGTTTTTATAAATTATAAATACAGAAGATGGCTATTATAATCATACCATAGTGCATTCACTATATAGAACCATTTTATCACCCTACCAATTATATTTAAAATTGATAATTTTATTTGAAAAAAAAAATACCAATTATTAAATATTTATAGGTTTATTGTCATCATTCGCTTTAGTTTTTGGGAATAAGCAAATAGGAGAAAATAGAAATTGATTTCGTTATGTCATAATTTAAAATGTAGATTTTCGTAGTAGATAATTTGCACGATATTTGGAGGTTTTCTTCCATTTGTGCATTTTTCAATATTTTAAATAACTTAAACTAAAATGTTGGACTCTAAAAATTAAAAAATAATTTTAAAACAATAATATATACAATATAGAGGTTATTGGGTAGGTATCTAATTATTTAACAAAACAATAAGTATCCGATAACCTAATAAGTTCTGATAATATTATTAATAAAATTATTATCAATGACTATAATAATATATTTATAATAAGATATTCTAAAGTTTTTTTAGCTTGGACCCCTAGTCATATTATAATATTGTTAGAGTGTCACTTGATCGCAAATCTCTATTTAGTATACCTTTATAACATTAATTGCGGTTCGCATAATGTATACCTACCTATTGTTATTGCATTTTTTGTTTTTCCACGATGTCATTGTATTTTCGTTATAATAACTATAATGGCCAATCTTTTTTTATATTACAGACTGGGCTTGATGAGCCACTTCGGAGCACTGGCCGCAGCGGCTTCAGGCCGAAGTCCGTTTATGCTGTACCCGGGTGTGGGGATCGCGGGCACCACGGCCAGCGCGTTGGACAAACACTGGTACTCCGCGTGGTCGCAACCCTTGTCGGCCGCCATCAGTCCTACCGGTAAGTCACGAGTCCTTTAAGATTTAATAAATATCCACTAAACTTATATGCTGCACATTCCTAAAAGCGTTCATTGATACCGACTGTTCTTAAATTGCAGACAAAACGTTCATTTAAATTTATAATTCTGTCAATTTCATACCAGCTCTTTACACACTAACTGTACGCGTGCACTTAGATATTGCCTACAATGATCTCCGTATTCATAAATACATGTGCCCATAAATTTGATTTTTATAAATTTGACCAATAATTTTTTTCAATTATAAATTATAATTATTTTTCCATAAGACCATTATAATATGTGTTGCTTTTTACTTATTGTGGTATGTATACATCAAATGTAAATAACAGCAGTTTAGTTTGGTTATTAGCTATATATTTTGACCAAACCTGCAAAGCTGCGCATAATATACGTTTTACCGCACTATAACCTAGAAAAAACGTCGTAAGACAACCCAACAAACAATATTCTGCAATAATGTCACTATTGAAAACATGTACTTTGGCATGTCAGTAAGTCTGCTGTGGCGCCAACACTGGCGCCATTGTAGGGTAGTTGCACTCGCTTTTCACTTCGTACAAATACTGTTTAAAGATTTTTGAATTTTTAAATTTTAAAGATAAAATAGTAGGCATTTCAAAAAGTGATACGATTGATTTCCTGTAAGCTGCATAAGTGCATTATGAATTCAAATTTTCTTAAACTTTCTTATCGCATTACCATCAGTACGACGGACGAGATCACAGAATATAGTCAAAGTAGTTTTCATAAAAAAAAAAGTACATCGATTTCTATAAACTATATTATATAGACTGTCCAACACAAAACTGAGCATAGATCTGTTGTCGATTGTTGCGGGTAATAAATCTTTTCAAGATTTTTCGGTTGTTAAAGTTTATAAGGATTCTAATTGGGTACCTATGCATTTATAATATTATAAATAATTTAAAATTCATACATTTCAATAAATATTTAATATAATATACATATGCCTAGATTAATTTTACTTTAAAGTGTTAGTGCACTAATGTGAGTAATATATTAATATTAAATAAAAATATATTTTATTATTGATAATAACAAATATAGCTACACAAATTATTAATGATTGACAACGATTGAATTTTTTATAGACTATGATTTCATTAACAATTATTTTTTTTCGTAGTCAAATTTTCTTTTCTTTTCTGAGATTGTTGACGCAGGCACGATAGTATGCATAATTATTGAAATTTATCAATATTTTAATAGTATACAAATGACGCGAAGTAGGTAATCAATTTTTAATCATATATATATATCATGCATAAATCATGGTTGATAATAGTTTTTTCGGCCTTTGTTGTCAGGCCGTATTGTCAGGGTTCTAAAGCACTTGATTAAAAGTATTCCAATACTTTTCTCTAAGTTCTCAAACAAGTGTCCCGTATCTGTACTTGAATACTTATAAAAATCATTTTTACAAAACTTTAGGCTCTCGTATATTATTATAATAAAATTACAAATTAATATGCCGGATATTATTAATTAATAATATAATGTCACGTCGTTGTACACTTGCCGTGCATAACACGTCATTGTTAAAACGTGGTTGAAATCCGATAGGTATTACAACGGGTATGTAGAAAGGCATTACCTACCTACCTATAATATGTGTATCGAGGCGATTCCGGCGGAGAGTCATTTATACGGATACGAGCGCGTTCGGAGTAATAGCAGGACGCAATTATTTGGGTCGATTCGGGCACGCGACGTATTATAGAGGTGCTATGTGTGTACATTTAAGTGCTCTCTCTCTCGTACACGAACACACGGGCACGCACGATACATAATAATATTATATAATATATAAATACCTATATACATAACCCAACCCGAGCGGCGTTTTGTTCGAACTGTATAGGTAGGTACTATATAATATTATTATGGGCATTATTGTAAGCGCACGAGGTGGACATTTTTTTCGATCATATGACGAGGGGTGGGCGGGTTGTCCTTATTGTGAAAATATTGCGGTGAGAGTTGCTGCTATATAATATAAATATTATATTGTAATACGCTCGTCCGTCCGGCGGAATTTGTTCGATTCATATCATCATATACCGGGACGATTCCATATACCGATTACCCGGTTAATTCCGTGTTCATATACACACACAGACTCGACTACCCGAATGCCCACTGTTTAATCGGCACGCACCGCCACCGCATGCAATCCTACCTTTCATATCCATCCCGTCGTGATATATACCTCTATATTAGTATCTATATGTATTATGTTATACGTATATATTATGACGGTGCATAAATCGCACGGTGACGAAAGGCTTCGCTTTGCAAGTGAATACCTTCAAAGGCTTCGTTTTAAACTGCCGCCGCTGCCTCGACGGGTGAAGTACGGCTTCACGTTTTAGATCGGTCCCGGCGCGACGACGGCAACTTACTCTGCTCGCACACGCAAGCGACAAAACTATATAATATAATACATATTGTTAAATACTCGTCTACTTGACAATAACTGAATATATCATCGCATACAGGGTGTCCCTCGCAGTGACGTAATAACGAACACGATTTGCACGATATATTATGATAGTAGAGGATACCGAGGACCCGATGCCGCGGTGTAGAGACCACCTCGGAGGTCTCCGACTGTAATATTTACTTTGTACTATCACCGACCCACGACATTTAATAGTTGTAATTCCTATAACCTATATTTTTCACGTGAACACTATAATTTACATAATATCTGTACAGCTGTAGAAGACATCGCAATATTATTATTGGGGTGAAAACCACTGCTAAATATCCTCCGGTTTTTTGACATCTCGAACAATCCGATCAGCCAGACTGTACCGGGTTCCTATTATATTATAATATAGTAATATACATACCGCAGGGCCGTACCAGCAAATCTACCCGACCTGCGTATGATATAGATAATCGACTATAATACTGTTATAATATGGCCGATGGGGATTGAATTATTATATTATCGAGCACACCCTGTATATACATATACGAACGTAATAGTATAAAATAATATACACGTCATAATATATATTGTACATATTATAATATATTGTCGTGCGTATTATATTCTATTGTTTCGACATGACGTGACACAATACTGGGCTGTAGTATTTTAACCCCTCGTCGTCCCTACACACGCACACACACACACACACACACACACACACACACACACACACCGTATGAATATAACCGTTTCATTAGACTAATCGACTTGTATCTGTGACACTCGATATTTAAACGTCCGTAATCGGCCGTATGCGTTCGTCCCGTTCGCATTACGCAATTATAAACCGCATTTATTATTACAATATATACAAAATAGTAATAATATATATATATATGTCGCATATCACCATAAATCGCGCAGTTATTGACGCGGAAGTGGGTATCCGGTTTGAGGAAAACGGTCGTCGCAAAGATGACCTACTACAACCGATGATATTATGTCATATGAAACGGACATGGATATTATATTATATTGTTTAACGTTCCGGTTAGGTTATGTTATAAGCGTATTATATTATTATTTGCATTATGTATAAACAGAGGTATGGTATACATTTTTGGCACTGTCGTTGTGTAATACATTTTATTATTAAAAAATATATTTATGGCGCTCGAGTAGGGTATTAGTTTTAATTGTCATATTGTAGGTAATTAATGCCTAGTGGTAATCATTAGCCTAGTACGTCGAATGGTATATATATATTCAGAGAGATCAATAAATATTTGGAAAAATGTGGCATATTATACTTTTGGTTACAGTATAACAGAGGCGTACCCAGGATTTTTTTATGGGGGGGGGGTCCAAAATTATTATTTTATCTGTTCTCTAATTATAATTATAGTTTAATTCATTACCAACATATTACTGTTAATAACTATAATATAGTTACTTACAATAGTCAATAGTTATACACACACTCACAGCACATATACAGAAAGGTTTATAACAATAGGTAGGTAGTATAATTTTAAATCAATTTTTATTTGGTAATAAAATGTTATAAAAATTACATTATTTAACTTAAAATTATTTTAAAGTTTTAATCTCCTGTTTTTTTTTACAAGTTCCTCAATTATATCATCTGGTGTTAAGATTTCATTTCGATGAATATTAAGCATTGCAAGTCCATTTAGTCTGTCTTCCGATACAGTATTTCTGAGATATGTTTTAAGATTTTTTAATGAAGAGAAACTTCTCTCAGAAGTACATGTCGTGACTGGTAATAAACATAATATTTTTATTAACTTGTATATATTTGGGAACAAGTCTTCATCACAAAATTGTAGAAATTGTATTACAGTTTTTGGCTTTTGATCTTCTTCAGTTCTTTTTAAGACATTTTTCCACATCTTAATTTCTGCTATTACAATATCGGGTTCACTTAAATTATCCGAATCTTTATAAAAATCTATTAATTGTAAAATGTCGTTATTATTATTGTCCAATTTATTTTTAAATAACATTTTAAAACCAATTTGTGTTCAATAAAACGACTATTTATTTGATCTAAAAAGTAATCCAAAAATGGTATAAATATTGATATTTTGAAGTATTCTTCTGGAGATTTACTAATTATGTTACAGCGATTGATTTGACGCTTACAGGTCCTTGGAATACAAATTTGTATATCAAGACATTCAGATTTTTCTTCCAAGTTCTTAAATATACTCTTATTAAACGATTTACTATTAAACAATTGTGTAAATGTAAATATCTCAATGGGGGGGGGGTCCGGACCCGAAATCCCCCCCCCTTGGGTACGCCCCTGCAGTATAATATGCAATTATTTACAACATTTTTCGAAGCATACAATCCGTCCCGTTCCTATATTATTAAATAAAAGTTTTTTTTTTTTTGAATGTCCGAATACGTTGTTTACAATAATTACTATAATATTGTTATTGTATAGCAAGAACCGAAAAATTTTTAGTACCTGTACGAATATGTCAA